ACCACTGGGAGAGGAGGAGGAGGAGGAGGAGGAGGAGGAGGAGGAGGAGGGGGAGGAGGAGGAGGAGGAGGAGGAGGAGGAGGAGGGGGAGAAGGGAAGGAGGAGGAGGAGGAGGAGAAGGAGGAGGAGGAGGAGGAGTAGGAGGGGAGGAGGAGGAAGGGGGAGGAGGAGGAGGAGGAGGAGGAGGAGGAGGAGGAGGAGGAGGAGGAGGAGGGGAGGAGAGGAGGAGGAGGAGGAGGAGGAGGAGGAGAAGGAGGAGGAGGAGGAAGAGGAGGAGGAGGAGGAGGAGTGAGGAAGATGCGGATGAGGAGAAGGAGGAGGAGGAGGAGAAGGAGGAGGAGGAAGGGGAAGGCAAGGAGGAGGAGGAGGAGGAGGAGGAGGAAATGTCTTTGTCTTCTCCGCGCGCCCCACGCGCGCCCGCGCTCGGCAAAGGCTGTGCGCCAAATGGCTGCAGCACCCGGCGATGTGCCTGAAAGGCGCGGCTCCCGCGCCGCGAGAGCCGCCTGGGCGGGATGGTCGCGGGCATCGCGGGAGGGTGGAATCAAGGTTCATTTCGATTCCTCCGATTTCGATTCGACTCGATTTCGGTGACATCCGATTCCGATTCGATTCGGCTTCAGGTTCCGATCTTGATGCCGATTCTTCGACGGAGGCCTACTAACCTGCCGATTCCCGCCGATTCGAATTTTCCCGACTCGGCTGCCGATTTCCGCCGATCCGATTCGTTTCGATCGCCGATCCGACTTGTCGATTCGATTCTGGGTTCTCCTGGAAGGAATCGCAGGAGGACCCTGATCTCCAGATACATGTTCCAAACTCCATGAGGAGGTTGTTCGCCGCGTTCGTGCACTGTCTGGGGAGAGGCGGCGAGAGGAGCTGCATACGTATTGAGTCATGGGGAAGGCCAGGGGGCCGAGCGCGCTGGTGCGGCGTCCCCCATCCACTGGGCGGGGAGGATTCGTATCAGGCCCCGGCGCGCGCCCCGCGCGCGGGAGGCGACAGCTGCACCCTGGGGCACGGCCTGATGGAGCTCAACATGGCCGGCGACCAGCATTTCCTCTCCCCTCAGGGCCCCCCGATAAGTCAGGACATTGCTAACCAGGATTGTGAACATCTCATTTGAGAGAACGAATACTGGAGCATATTTCGACCTGCCGCCGCAGTGTTCTCGGGCGCGCAAACGTCCTAGTTTATTTGGTTCTCTTCAACAAGTCTGGTCATGTCCAGGATTCCTTATTTATGACAATCTTGGCCTCCGGAGAGTTTCCCCGGGAACAGTTTTGGTTATCTTGGGCCTGATGGAGGCCTCATGGAACTTCTTGGGCATTTCTTTGAGGCTCTAAGGTGCATCTTGAGGCGATGCTGGGCCACTTTGACGGGCCTTGGTTGTCATCCTGGGCTGTCTGGGATGTTTCGGAGTGTCCTAAAGAGCCCCAAAGAGGCACCAGGTCCTTTTGGGAGCTTCGCGAGGGAGGAGGGTGTGGCGCATGTGACTTGGTACAGACAAGACGCCGAACTCAGGACCACTTTGGGCTCAGGAGGGGCTCTGATGTTTTGGCCTTTCCTTGTTTTCGGGTCGTGGGATTAAGTTTCGGCGGAGGCTCACTGTGGCAGAACAGCTGCTTCGTTCCTTATTCAGCTCTCCTTCTGGTAGTACAGTCAACGCGCATAGGAAGGACGCGCGCCTTTTCTAGGGTACCACTGTGTCCTTTCCTCTGCGGCCCGTCCTTTGCCGTTTCCATCGGGTTTGTTGATCGCCTTTCGCCAACAAATTAAAAGTTTAGGCTCCAAGGGTCTTGCGTCTTTACCACCCGTCCTTAACGTACGTTTTCACTGTACGGTGGCTGCCGCAACCCTGCCGGATAGCAATTGGCATTCTACCACCCCTCCACGTGCCAGGGGGTCGCGCAGGCGGATATTCCCCAATGTGGCTGCCCCCGAAAAAAATGACACGCACTTACCTCGCGCGCGCGCCACGCTAAGTGCACGTACCATTGAAAGAGCATTCTGGTCCACAGCACGCGTCTCCAACACTCCGCGCAGCACTCCACATCACTCGTCCCCAACGCCGCGCTCAGTACTCCCCACAGCCGCCCCCCCACCCGAGCGCAACTCCAGCATCAACCTTTTACTCCGCAGCCTCCATCTCCAGCGCAGCTCCCAGCCCTCCCTGGCCTCCTCTTCGGCGCGCCGCCCAGCACCTCCGGATCGCCATCCCCGCAAAGACTCGAGCCTTCCGACCCCCGATCATGCATTCCCGCGCGCTCGTCGAGCGCCCGTTCTCCGGGGGTCGATGCATCCCTCCCTGAGTCTATCCACCCCTCACGTTGCCCCATGAAATTCGGGCTGTACCTCGGCTCCGGCGGCCGTTCGGGGCGATCCGGGCACCCCTGGAACGCCCTCGACGAGGCGCAGCTGTTGGAGAGCACCCCGAGGCTGGAGAAAACCGCCGAGGTGCGACGACGGCGTCCGAGAGCCTTGAAAAACGTGTCCCCCCAACGCCCTCGGCGAGGCGCAGCTGTTGGAAAGCACCCCGAGGCTGGAAAACCGCCGAGATGCGACGACGGCGCCCCGGCGGGGCAGCAAGTGAAGCCCTCGGGCGTGGGCTTCTTTCAGCAGCGCCCGCGAGGCGCCCACGACTGGCCACTAGCTCAGAACTCGCTCAATCCATCCGGGGAGAACCTTGAAGACGTTTCCCCCCCAGAGCCCGAGGCCAGAGGCGGCGAGCCCAGTCGCCCCGGAGGGCGCGCGCCGGCCCAGGCGAGGCCCTCTTCATCAAGGTCGACGGCGGCGACGCGACCAGCTGCGAGGTGAAGTCCGCACAGGTCTTGCCCGCGCGCGCGGAGGGAGGAGGGGGAGGAGGAGGAGGAGGAGGAGGAGGAGGAGGAGGAGGAGGAGGAGGAGGAGGAGGAGGAGGAGGAGGAGGAGGAGGAGGAGGAGGAGGAGGAGGAGGAGGAGGAGGAGGAGGAGGAGGAGGAGGAGGAGGAGGAGGAGGAGGAGGAGGAGGAGGAGGAGGAGGAGGGGAGGAGGGGGGAGGAGGGAGGAGGAGAGGAGGAGGAGGAGAAGGAGGAGGACGACGACGAGGACGAGGACGAGGACGAGGTGGAGGAGAAGGAGGAGGAAGAGGAGGAGGAATCGAACAGAGTGTCGGGCTCGAGGTCTGAGGTTTTCTGGCCTGTTCGTCGTTTCTCTGCGGCTCTCCACCCTCGGGATGCCTTCCAGCAGCTGTGCCTCGCTGATGGCGTGCTGGGGGTGCCCGGCTCGTCCCGATCGGCCGCCGAAGCCCCGAGCTCTGGCCCGAAACCTGAGCGACCCGGGAGAAGGAGAAGAATGGGGAGGAGGAGGAGGAGGAGGAGGAGGAGGAGGAGGAGGAGGAGGAGGAGGAGGAGGAGGAGGAGGAGGAGGAGGAGGAGGAGGAGGAGGAGGGGGAGGAGGAGGAGGAGGAGGAGGAGGAGGAGGAGGAGGAGGAGGAGGAGGAGGAGGAGGAGGAGGAGGAGGAGGAGGAGGACGAGGAGGGAGGAGGAGGAGGAGGAGGAGGGAGGAGGAGGAGGAGGAGGAGGAGGAGGAGGAGGAGGAGGAGGGAGGAGGAGGAGGAGGAGGGGGAGGAGGAGGAGGAGGAGGGGGGAGAAGTGGAAGCGATGTTTTGGAAGCGCTCATGGGGGGCGGGGGTCCAGAAGGTTCTGCGGGGCTCTGCGGTTTTCCAGGGGTTCTAAGGGGTTCAGAGGGAGGGGAAGGGGGGGGAGGAATGGGTTGGGGGAGAATGAGGACGGGGGGGTAGGGGTAATGAAGGGGGGGGGAGGGAGGAGGACATTCCTCACCCGCTGGCCATGTGCCCCCTATTATCCCTCTCTCTGTCTCCCTGCAGCCCTCATCCAGGCCAAAAGAGCATCCTCCTCCATCCCTTCCCCGTTCGCTCTGCATTCGAAAACTTCCAACTCGTACATACTTTCTCATCGGTGCTTGCATCGCGGATGCTTCCCTGTCAGTGTTTGCACTGAGGAGGTCCCCGTGGGGAAAAAAAGACGCCTTCGAAAGCTTCTGGGGCCGTCTTAAAGCGTCCTGGACCGATCGTGCGGCGATGTGGGGCCTTCCTGGACCTCTTGGGGGCCTCTTGGGGCGCTCTTGTCCCGACTTGGGACCAGCCTGTGCCCGAAGACGTCACGCGAGAAGCTGCGCCAATCACCAAGAGATTTGTGAAATTGTGGTCTGGGCCACTGAACGACCGAACGAACCCTAAGGAATGACGGTGGCTGCTATTCATACACACACACATCTACAACATAAATCCGTTATGTATTTAGATGTACAAATATACACTATGCATACATATATATATATACACATATGTCGGTGCATGGCTCTACACGTGTGTGTGTGAGAGTGTGTGTGTGTGTGTGTGTGCGTGGGTGCGTGGTTGCGTGTGCGTGTGCGTGTGCGTGTGCGTGTGCGTGTGTATATATATATATATAGAAATGAGATGATATAGCAGTATGCTCTTTTCCTGTGTTTATAATCTCGGACCCTGTGAGCCCCCCCCCGTAAACGGACCCCTCCGGATCCTTGGCCCCGGGGGCACCCTGGGGAGCTGGTTCCCTGTGCTTCCTGGGGCTCCGGCAGCCTTTGCTGGGCTTGGGATCGGGCCCAAATCGGTCAGGCAGACGGCCAGACGGCCCGGGGAGAGTCTACAAAGGCCCCAGATACCACCAGACGCCCGAAGGCCCAGAGAAGAACCCCTAAGGCCCTACGAGGCATGCGAAACGCACAAAATACACGGATGTCCTATGGTTTTTTGTTTGATGCTGGGAATGCTCAGTTGTCCGGTCTTCCGGGCGTCCGAGACCGCCCAGGAGGCCAGAGAGTCGCCCCAAATTAACCAAGAGGGCCTCCAGGCAGTCCAAGAGGAGCCCGAAGACGGCCCAGCAGGGCCCCCAGGTGGCCCGGGCTCCGGAGCCATTTTGGCTCAAGCCGGCGGTGCCCCCCCCTGTGGAGATGGCACGCCGATGAATTCGGTCCGCCTGACCCTCCTCTGCCTCGCCGCAGGATCCCTCTGCTGCGTGCTGCTCGTGCGCTACCCTGCCGGACCGCTTCACCGCGTCCGTGCTTACTGGCGAGCGCATGGCGGCTGGCTCGAGGCCATCGGCCTGGGACGGCCGCCTTCCTCCGACCCCGGCGAGGCGAGCGGCGGCTGGCCCGGGCTGGAGTCGTCCGCCGGCCAGCAGGCGGGGGGCATCGGGAGGACGGGAGGGCCGATCCTCAGCAGCGACGTCTCACCTGGCGGCGGCCAGGACGCGGCGGGGGCGGGGGCCCTGGCCGACCTGGCGGCTGGAGAAGCGGAGGCGCGGCTTGGCGCAGGGTGCGTGGATGGGCCCCGGGTCGATGGCGACGCTTGGATGTTGCACTGCTACCTGGACTGGTTCACGCTGACGGAGGCTGAGGGGGGGTGCTTCGGCGACGAGGCCTGCACCGTCCTCCACGACTTCGGGTGCGACGGCGTCCAGTGGAGGTACTCTTTCAGCACACTCGATTCAGTTCAGGCGGCCGGGGCCACCCGCAGCGCCTGCACGAAGCTCTGCAAGGCTGGCGTCGGCCTCCTCTCGAGCCAGAGCACCGCCGCTCCCGCTCCCGCGGCACCGCCGGCGGGGGCCTCCGGCGAGGCCCCCGGGAGACCGAACATCTCGATCAGTACCACTGGCGCTGCGCCTGCGCCACGGCTCCTCCTCCTCCTCCTCCTCCTCCTCCTCCTCCTCCTCCTCCTCCTCCTCTTCCGAGCTCAAGGCCCGCGACTCTGCGATCGTGCTGTTGTTTGAGACAGAGGCCATGACGTCGCAGAAGCTGCCCGCTCTGAGGTGCGCCGAGCAGTACGTGGCCCAGCTCTGGAAGAGCGGGGTGCGCCACCGGTTGGTGGGCACAGGGGCGCCTTACATAGGCTGGGGCACCAAGTGGCGGGTCATGCGCCAGGCGCTGGAGGAGCTGGCCCCCTGACGCGCGGGTGGTCGTCTCCGACGCCCGCGACGTGCTGCTCAACCCTGTGGCGGGATCCTCTGTGGAGGGCGGCGCCACCACGAAGGGACTCCTGGAGAGGTTCAAGTCCCTCGTGCGCGGGCGCCCCGGCGCCGCCGTGGCCGCCGCCGAGGGGAGGTGTTGCGTCGCCGCGCTCACGCACGTGAAGCCGGGGGCGCTGTTCACCCCGAACGGCACCCGGGCTGCCCGGGCGTGCAGCTCGGGGCACCCGAGCTGCGCGTGGCAGCGCTCTGGGCGGGCGCCGTGGGAGAGGTTCATGGGCCAGCTTGCGCGCAGGCGTGGCGCGGCCGACGTTTCGGAGCGCTATCTGAACGCTGGTCGTCTAGCGGGTAAAGCGAAGGATCTGCTCCGGCCGGTTGACCTCATTAGCATATGGCGAGCAGGAGGACGACCAGGCGGTGCTCACCGACCTGATGTTCCGCAGGCCCGACCTGCTCGTGCTCGACTACAGGCAGAGCCTGCTCGGCAGCACCCGGTATTGGCTCGGCCTGGGGGCCGGCGGCTGCCCCTGCGTGGCGGACCAGGTGACTGGGCAGGCCCGGCACGCGGATGACGAGACCCACCCGCGGTTCGTCCATGCGGCATCGAACTATTGGGAGTGCCTCGAGCAGATCAGGCCTGCGCTGGCCGCGAAGGCCACCACGAGCAGTGCACTGCGGGGGCCACGCCCTACGTCGAATAATGGAGCCCCGGTGGCTGGATGGCAACTGCGGTGACAATTACGGCTTGACCACGACGGAAGCCCCAGGTGGCCCGAAGAGAGCCTCATGACGTCCCAAGATGGCCCCAAGGCGCCTCCCGAGTCATTCCAAATCGTGACCTGGTCGTTCAGGGAGACCGCTGTTGGAAGCAGGGTGGCCATGGGGAATCCCCCAGAAGGAACCCAGGAGGCTTCCAGAAGGCCACACCAAGCCTTCAAAAACCTTCGTGAGGCTTACAAGAGGCTCTCCTACGATGAGCCTCCACAAACATCGCTGAGGATGGGGGCGAACTCGCAGGGGTAGGGCGAGAGTGAGGAAGAGGAAGAGAAAACATGAGTGAAGCATCACGAGTCACACTATTCCAGCAACGATGCCAGAAAAGGCATCAAGGAGTTATCGGTCAATGTTCCGTTTCACTTTTTTGTTTTCTGCCTGCAAGCCAAGTCTGAAGGACCACAGTGCATGGCGCGAAGCGCCAATGCAGTCTTGTGCATAGATATGTACATATATACAAGTGGCACGTGTGTGCCCAGGCTCATACAACAAGCTGACGGGGCGTTTGAAGCAGGAGTGACATGCAACAGCGAAGTCGCACTCGAGCGCAAGTGGGGTTGCCACACCTTGCGATGTGTGTACCAGGGCCCCCCAGGAAGCCTCAGGAGGCCCGACTTGGATACCAGAAGAGGCTCCAGGAGGCCCCAGGATTGTGAGTGTTGTGTGTGTGTGTGATGTGTGCTTTGTGTGGTGCGTGCTTTTTGTGTGTTGTCGGTGTTGTGTGTGTGTGTATGTTATGTTTGTCTAGCGTGTGATGTGTTGGGCGTGATTTGTGTCTCTGTGTGTGCATGTAGTTCTGAAGCCCCAGGAGGCCCCAGGAGGCCCCAGGCGGCCTCAGCAGGCCCAGGAGAACTCCAGGAGGCTCCGAGGCGGGGTCTGGGGTACCAGAAGGTCCAGAAAGCCCCAGGAGGCCCCAGGAGGTTCCAGGAGGCCCCCAGGAGGCTCCGAGGAGGGGTCTGGGGCTCGATTTTGGGAGGATTTTTCATGCGAAACCGCCATTCTCTGAGAATCGGGGTCAAAATTATTGAAATTACCATGTGTTTTTGAAGGTTTTATGTTAAAATGTTGAAATTCCCATGTGTTTTTGGACCCTGACGTCACGATCTGCGTGAGGGGTGCCACCGATTTTCAGAATTTCGAGGATGTCCCGAGCAAAACGGCCAGAACAATCGCGAACGCGTGCGCATTAATCGCCTCTGAGCTCTACTCCCTCGGAGAGGTGCGTATGAGAATATATATATATATATATATATATATATATGCATTTATATTTATGTATACATATGGATGTATGTGTATAACTCTCTGCGGTGCTCATCGCCGGAGCGCTGCAGCGCGGGGCCTCAAGCGACGCGTGTCCCCGGGCGCCCGTCGCGTGCAGCGATGGGCGATGGCGACGACCTGGCCATGGACATGGAGTTCGACAGCGCCATTCAGGACGCGGGGTTCGGGGGCGGCCAGGAGCGAGTTGGTGACTGCGGGGGGGGACCTCCCGGCCAGGGGCATGATGATTACCTTTCTGAACTTCATGGCCTCCTTATCTCTTGCTTTCAACACGTCCACTGGCCCCTCCTTGTCCGCGCACGTGCCTCTGGCCACGACTTGCGAGACCCGCTTCTACCCTCCTAGACGTCACGCAGGGATGCATCCGCAGCTGTCCTCCGCATTCGCGCATTTTACCGAAGACGAAGCTGCTCCACAAACATGTCCGGCGGTCCGCACGGATTTCTTGGACCAGCACCTTGGGCGTTGGGCCCCTTTGGCTGCGCCTTAGGCTCCGCGCGGGGTCAAGCGCCGATCCAAGAAATCCATGAAGATCTTCGAAAATTCTGCAGATTGTTGTTCCCCCTCCTCCTCCTCTTCCTCCTCCTCCTCCTCCTCCTCCTCCTCCTCCTCCTCCTCCTCCTCCTCCTCCTCCTCCTCCTCCTCCTCCTCCCCCCCCTCCTCCTCCTCCTCCTCCTCCTTCCTCCTCCTCCTCCAGAGATGGATCCGTAGCTGTTCTCAGCATTCGCGCATTTGGCTGCGAGATTTCCGCCCCGCGCTGCCACTCGGCAGTCGTCCTGGCTGCAATATGTGCCGGAGACAGACTGACCCATCTGAGTCGCAGCGTCGCTCCGCGTGGTCAAGTATTTGGGAAATTCTTGTCCGTGGGACAGCTGCAATCAGGGCCCAGGCTGATGCGCGTGCAAGCCCGATGCTTTCATATCTACATCTGTGCACTGGGGTGAGACGTACATGGGGCTCCCTAAGGGCCACAGCTTGCTTGAGGGGTGAGGCGAAATGAGCTCGGGCCTGGTATTCCCGCAGCCGTGCCCACTGACGTTGTAGCTGAAGCCCCCCACACGCCAACATGTGCAGGCGGTGAGCCGAAATCAGTCGGTCTCTGTATGCGTGCGTGCCCGCAGGGAACGTAATTCAGGCTCCTCCTTGGACACGAAGCGGGGGTGAGCCAAAATTGGTCTGGGCGGCCGTACCCGCTCGAGACAAAGCAAGAGCGCCATATCGGGCACGGAGTGCGCAAGGTGTGTACCGAAATTGATGGTTGGGACTTCTGGGAATCGCACTCTGTGACGGGTGGTCCAGAGATGGCCTGGCTCCTGCATGCAGATGTGTCCCTTGGGTGCGCGCTTAGATCTTTCGAGGCACGAAATGCGCAAATGGTGGTCCGAGATGGGCCGGGGCCCAGCCCACTTGGGGCAAAGCTCGGCCTCCCGCAAAGCCACGACACGCGCTCGGAGTGAGCAGCCGAGTGGGGTCTGGGTCATGTGCGCGGTTGTGCCTAATGGGTACTTGGTTGGGTCTACCGGCGGTCGACGAAATGTGCGAGGGTGGGCCGATATCATCCCTGGCCACGTGTGCGACTGTGCCCACTGGGAAGGCGGTGTAAGTTCCGCGTGTGGCGCAAAGTCCGCGCGGGGTGGGTCAGCATGGGCTCCACGTGAGGTGCGGTTCACCGTGAAGCCGATGACGACGATGAGAATGATGACTGGCACATGCACGAGCAAGGGGCGGGCAAGCGGTTGATGCGGGGGTTGAGCTCGCAGAATCCATCCCCAGCCTGTTGGGAGAAGCATGAAGTTCCTCAACGGCTCACGTGTTTGGCGCACACACAGGCTAGACAATCACAATCATGTACCTAGAATCAGACGCGACTGTCCGAAGGAGTAGAGCCAACAGCCGATGTGTAATCTGGTTCGTGTCTCCTCCTCCTGTGCGTTCCTGTCTGCTCCTTCGTTCCTCATTTGTTTGTAAATGTCGTGCCCCTTGGGATCCCCCTGCTCGCTCCTCCTGTGTTCCTTTCCTCATGTGTGTGCGAATGTCGTGCCTTTTGGAACGGCGTGGATGCATCCTGGGTCATCTTGGAGGCCTTATGGAACCCCATGTGGCCCCCCCTGGGGCAATCTTGGACACCTCTCGGATCCAAAGAGGCAAGCTTGAAGATTGATTCGTCAGGAACTTGCGCTTGTTTGAAACTGCCCCGCGCCCTGAACGCCCGCTGTAACCAAATCAGTGGAAACACGAGTGGTTTTTGCATGTCTGGCAACCAGATTGACAAACCATTGGATCGTTGCACCGTGACGGCACGATCTGCGAGACGGGTGTTGACGATTCTCGGACGTGTGCAGGATGTCCCACGCGATCGGGCTACATATATATATATATATATATATATATATATATATATATATATATATACATCGGAGGTGAGGGGGTGAGATCGAAGTGGAACGGAGAGCCCCCCTACCAGGAAATCGATTTCGGTTTCGTGTTCGTGCGTGCCGTGCGTGCGGGCGAGGCGAAGCTGTGTGGGCGGGCGAGAGGAAAGTCTCCTGTGGCTGAGGCGCGGCCGGACCAAATGTCTCCCTTCCGGGCGGCCGGGGCCCCGCGGTGTCCCGCCGGTGTCCCGCTGGTGTCCCGTGTGGCTGAGGCGCGGCCGGACCAAATGTCTCCCTTCTGGGCCCCCCCGGTGTCCCGTCGGTGTCCCGATGATGATGATGGTGAGTTCGGTAGTGAGACCGAATGTGAGATCGATTGTGAGATCGTTTGTGATATCGATAGTGATATCGATAGTGAGACCGATTGTGAGATCGATAATGAGATCGATATTGAGTTCAATCGTGAGATCGATAGTGAGACCGAATGTGAGATCGATTGCGATATCGATTGTGATATCGATAGTGAGACTGAACGAGAGATCGATAATGACTTCGATAGTGAGTTCGATAGTGAGATCGATTGTGAGATCGGTTGTGATATCGATAGTGAGATCGATAGTGAGACCGAATGTGATACCGATTGTGAGATCGATTGTGAGATCGATTGTGACATCGATTGAATGAAATCGATAGTGGTATCGATAGTGAGATCGATAGTTATACCGAATGTGATATCCATTGTGAGATCGATTGTGATATCGATAGTGAGATCGATAGTGAGACCGAATGCGAGATCGATAGTGAGATCGATTGTGAGATCGATCGCCAGATCGATTGTGAGATCGATCGAATGAGACCGATAATGGGATCGATAGTGAGATCGATAGTGAGATCGATCGAGTGCGACGGTGGTCCCTCCCCCCCCCCTCACCTCCTTATCACCCGAAGGGTGGTCTATGCGGTATATATCTGTCAGGAAGAGGCAGGAGTGAGGACGAGCCAGACGCACGAGGAGGAGGAGGGGGAGCAGGCTGACGAGGGGCAGCAGTGAGGCACAAGGAGAGGCTGAGGATGAGGAGGGCGGTTGAGGCGGAGAACGGAGATGTTGAGAGGGAGGAGGAGTGACAGGTTGAGAGGCAGCAGGGAGAATGGGAGGCATAATATATTCAGAAGGAAGAGTGAGGCAGAGTTCGGCTTGCCGAGAGTCGAAGAGTATCCGAAGGAGCGGAGCTCTCTCCCAGATCCCAGCGTCATGGCTCAGATGCCTTCACATGGCCGTCTGGCCTCTCCGTGTGAGCCCTGTATTTGCTCCCGTGCTTACACGTTGCAGTTCATTTGTTATGAGCATGGGCACGCGCGTGACACTTGTGTATATGCTTTCATGCATACGCGACTATATGCATCCCCATCGTTATTCCTCTGTCCCCCCTCTGCGTCCGCATGACCTCTGCACGGGAGAGCAGGTAGCTAGCATGACAGAATTGTGCATGGCATACGTCCGATTCAACAGGCTGGAATTTCTCCTACATGCCTCCTGAGGAGGTGGGTGCTACTTTTCTTGACTTCGTCCCGACGCCGCCAGTTGCCGTTTCGTTGTCGCCCTGTTGCCGCTCCGCATTGCTTTGCATCTCGTTGGATTGCGCTTCGCTGGTATGCGTTGCTTTACACCACTCTGCATCGCAACACACATTGTTATGTTGAGCACAACTTTGGACCATCGTTCTTCCTACACTCCTCGCAGGATGGTGGTTGTTACCGATGCGATCCCGACATGGTAAGCGATATAATTGACGCTAGGCATCGACGTAGTATCCTCACGCGGTCACGCGACATCGCTGTCGATAACACGCCCGGTGGCGATCATACAAGAGATCGAATACGATGATGAAGTTGGTACTTCCTCATTCGTGCAGATGTGTTGGGTCGTGGGGGACACGATGTTGCATAGCGATACAGTCTCGTCAGTTTCCGATGCTTGCCCTGCGCGCAATAGTGTCCGTAAGGCCGAGAACGCGCGCTGCACTGTGATAGTAGTTGTGGTAGTTTGCCAGCCCTGGTCGAATACACTGCACACGGGGAAATTCTATCAGGACTTCCAGCCCCACAACGAGCTGGACTCGTTCTTCTCCGGCGGCGTCTCCCAGGGGACGCCCGGGCCGGCAAGGCAATCTGCATACCCGCCCTGGGCGTTTGGTCGCCTTTTCGAGGGGCCACTAGACCTTGCCACGCTCGTGGGTGCGTTGACGAGCTCGTACTCTGACGGGATATTAGACCCCAGGGGAGGGAGAAAGGGGGAGGCGTGATAGCCAACCCTCTGACACGGCTTTTTGTTGTTGGTCTTTGTTTCTATGTGTCTATCCCCAGAGGGTCTTTCATAACCCCCCCGGCCACTAGTCACTAGTGGGAAAATCACTACTTACTGTGCGGGTCTATTTACGGAGTGGGACCCCTAACAATATTTGGAAAATCATTACCCCCCGGGGGCAGCCACCGCTGATGATCGGAGGGTATGGCGAGGAGGGGGAGGACGAGGAAGGGAAGGACGAGTTGTTTGGCCAATCGAGAGCTCAGGGTGTGGGGGGTCCTGGCTAGCATGAAAGGCCCCTCCGGGTCACTGCATTCGAGCTCGTCGCCGGCTGGGCGCACTGCGAGCGCCAAATCAATCCGGGGAGCAAATCATTGCATAAACATAATTCCCCACATCCTAAGTGGGGTTCTTGTTTTCTCTGCACACCCTCCGCGCAGGATCTCTCGTCCTCCTCCCTCTCCTCTGCTCCTCTTTGCTTCCTCCTCCGCATCATCATCACCATCACCATCACTCCACACTCATCATCATCATCATCACCATCAGCATCACCATCACCATCGCACGATCGCTCACCATCATCGGCATCGAACGATCATCATCATCATCATCATCATCATCATCATCATCATCATCATCATCATCATCATCACTACTCGCTGACTCACCACTTCGTCCCCATCATCATCACCACCATTTACCATCAGAATCGCACGATCACTCACCATCAGCACTCATCATCACCACCATCATCATCATCACGCCGTCATCATCACCACCACCACCACCATCATCATCATCATCATCATCATCATCATCATCATCATCATCATCATCATCATCATCATCATCATCATCATCATCATCATCATCATCAATCATATATCATCATCAAACACCGTCGTCATCATCCCATCACCATCATCCACCAAGAGGGAGCCTCGTCTGTGAGTGAATTGTGAGGAAGTCTCAGGCGGGAGCCCCCTCCCTATGGGGCCCGCAGATCATGTTACTAATCCGAGCGGGTCATCGGATTCCTGTAACTGTCGTCACTTTTGGGCTCCTCAGGTTTGAATTTGGAGGAAGTATCAAGCGGGACCCTCGTCTGTGAGTGAATTGTGAGGAAGTCTCAGGCGGGAGCCCCCTCCCTATGGGGCCCGCAGATCATGTTATAATCCGAGCGGGTCATCGGATTCCTGTAACTGTCGTCACTTTTGGGCTCCTCAGGTTTGAATTTGGAGGAAGTATCAAGGCGGGAGCCTCGTCTTGTGAGTGAATTGCGAGGAAGTCTCAGGCGGGAGCCCCCTCCCTATGGGGCCCGCAGATCATGTTATTAATCCGAGCGGGTCATCGGATTCCTGTAACTGTCGTCACTTTTGGGCTCCTCAGGTTTGAATTTGGAAGAAGTATCAAGCGGGACCCTCGTCTGTGAGTGAATTGTGAGGACGCGTCAGGCGGGAGCCCCCTCCCTATGGGGCCCGCAGATCATTTATTAATCCGAGCGGGTCATCGGATTCCTGTAACTGTCGTCACTAATTGAGCTCCTCAGGTCTGAATTTGGAAGAAGTGTCAAGCGGGACCCTCGTCTGTGAGTGAATTGTGAGGAAGTCTCAGGCGGGAGCCCCCTCCTTATGGAGCCCGCAGATAATGTTATTAATCCGAGCGGGTCATCGGATTCTTGTAACTGTCGTCACTTTTGGGTTCCTCAGGTCTGAATTTGAAGGAAGTATCAAGCGGGACCCTCGTCTGTGAGTGAATTGTGAGGACGTCTCAGGCGGGAGCCCCCTCCTTATGGGGCCCGCAGATCATTTTATTAATCCGAGCGGGTCATCGGATTCCTGTAACTGTCGTCACTTTTGGGATCCTCAGGTTTGAATTTGGAGGAAGTATCAAGCGGGAACCTCGTCTGTGAGTGAATTGCGAGGAAGTCTCAGGCGGGAGCCCCCTCCCTATGGGGCCCGCAGATCATGTTACCAATCCAAGCGGGTCATCGGATTCCTGTAACCGTCGTCACTTTTGGGCTCCTCAGGTTTGAATTTGGAAGAGGTATCAAGCGGGACCCTCGTCTGTGAGTGAATTGTGAGGACGCGTCAGGCGGGAGCCTTCCTATGGGTCCCGCAGCTCACGTGGTTCCTCCGGGTCATCCTCCGGCGCGCGCTTCCTCTGGGTCGTCCTCCGGCGCGTATCGGCTGGGACGCACGTCGTGCGCTTCCTCTGGGTCGTGTTCCGCACGAGGACGAGGAGGAGGAGGATTGCCAGGAAAAGGAGGAGGGATGATGCAGGACGAGACAGGAAAGCAGGAAGAGGAAGAGGCTGAGGGGAGGAAGGACGAGGAGGAAAAGGAGGAGGAGGAATGCCCGAGGAGGCCCCAGTAGGTCCCGGAAGGCCCAGAAGGCTCCAGGAGGCCCCAAGAGGCCCCAGGAGGCCCCAGGAGGGGGCAGGAGGCCTAAGGAGGAGGCAGGAGGAGGAGGAGGAGGAGGAGGAGGAGGAGGAGGAGGAGGAGGAGGAGGAGGGGAGGAAGGAGGAGGAGGGAGAGGAGGAGGAGGGGAGGAGGAGAGGAGGGACAGGGAGGAGGAGGAGGAGGAGGAGGAGAAGGGAGAGGGAGAGCAGGAGGAGGAGGCAGGAGGCAGGAGGGGCAGGGGGAATGGGGGGGAGGAAGCATAACGAGGGGGAGGGGGAGGAGGTGGAGGAGGCAAGAAGAGGAGGAAAAGGCAGGGGTTGAGGCAGGAGGAGGAGCAGACAGGAGGAGAACGAGGAGGCAAGAGTAGGGAGAAGGGAAGGGGCAGGAGGATACCCCCATGCAAGCTAAAGAGATTCTTATGTGGGGTCCTTCCGTCGGAGTAATTTGTTTCGAGGTCCGCGTGGACATTTCGGAACGGCGCTGGAGCCCCCTGGCAGCGACTTCAGCGCCGCCCCATGGCGCTTTCGGCGCGTCAGGCGTCAGGGGGGGTCCAGCGCCGATCCAAGAACTCCGCGCGGACCTCCGGAACTTCCTGTTTACGTAATCGCTCGTGCCCCTCCTTCTTTTACGCACGCTGCTTCCGCGGACACGTGGCTCACGCCCCAGCCCTGCTCTTGGCTCCAGAAGCTGCAGCAGGGTGCCTCTTGGCGTGAGCACCGCGACGAGAGCGCCCAGGGTTAGGCTCGGTGCGCCGGGCCTTCGGGCGTAGAGCCCCTGCCGGTTCGTCTCGCCCGCGGCGCCGGCGTTGCCTGCGCTTCTCTCGGAGAAGCTGCGCACGACCCTGTTCACGTCGCACTGTGCGCCCAGACGCTCCATCCAGGCAGATCGCGTGACACGCGAACGCTGTGTTGCGGGCACGATGGGCATCCATACACACCGCGTCCTGACGTCTCGGCTTCGCTTCCCCAGGAAGCAGAGAGGCGCAGTGGGTGTGGATTGAAATCTGGACTCCAGGAGGCGAGATCGATTTTTATCCATATCCACTGCGCCTCGGCCTTTGGGCACACCTTCCCAGAAAGTCCAAGACGCAGTGGATATTGATATACATGCTGCCCGCATGTGTGCGAGACCAGCTGTACCAGCCAGCGCGCCTCTCTGAGGCGTTCCTGCAGGGCACTTCCAGCTCAGTGCTTCTGTTGTGAAGGCAGATGTGGTGTACAACCCGCGCACCAAATAAGAAGTGAGCCTGCCAGTGGGTGCCCCACGAGAATGTGTGATCCCCCTGATGGTCCTGGAAGCCCCCCCCCGGGGCACCTCATGCAGTTTCACGGTCGACGAGGGCTGTCCCCCCCAGATGTCTCTTGCAGTCAGATTGCGAAGGCCTTACGGCCGGTGCCGCCGACCCTGAATGGCGACGACGACGACGACGACGACGACGACGACGACGACGACGACGAGCGCTCTTGGGGGCCTCTTGGGGGTAGTTGCCTCTTGGGAAACTCTTAGGGGCCGGTTGGAAGCCTCGTGAGGGCCTCTTGGGGCTTCTGGGGGTCTCTTGAAGGGGGCCTGGGACGTCTTGGAGGCTTCTTGGACGGTCTTGTGGCTATCTTGGGCGTTTTCGGCCGATCTTTGGGCGACTCGGGGCCCTCTTGGGCCGTCTCGGGTGCCATCTGGGGCATTCGGACATCATTTGGAGTGTTTTCGATGTTTCTAGGCCGCCCGAGGAAAAACGAATCTGCCCCCCCACCCCCCCCGGGACCCCCCCCGGGACCCCCCCCGGGACCCCCCCCTCCACCCTCCCCGGGACCCCCCCCCCCTGGGGAAGGGATCAAAGGGAAGGGGCTTCCCTTCGACTCGATTACGACACTGCTCGATTTTTCTCTCGCTCACGAGCTTGAGAAGGAAGCTGCAGGGAAAGGGGACGACGGAGGCGACGACCGACGGAGACGACGACTCGAACAGCCAAGCCCCTCGCACACGCCGACAGGGTCGGCGGATTTCTTATCGCGCGCATGTGTGCGTGCGAGGGTCGAGGGGACGAGGAGGACGAGGAGGGTCGAGGAAGGTCGAGGAAAGTCGAGGAAGATCGATGAGGACGAGGAGGAGGAGGAGGCGGAGGAGGAGGAGGAGGAGGGCCGAAGGAGATCGAGGAGCATTGACGAGGGCGGGGAGGAGGACGAGGAGGACGAGGAGGGCCGAGGGAAAGCGGGGAGGATCGAGCTCCGAAGTGCCGGCCTCCTCCTCCTATTCCTCCTCCTCCTCCTCCTCCTCCTCCTCCTCCTCCTCCTCCTCCTCCTCCTCCTCCTCCTCCTCCCATTCCTCCTCCTCCTCCTCCTCCTCCTCCTCCTCCTCCTCCTCCTCCTCCTCCTCCTCCTCCTCCTCCTCCTCCCCCTTCCGTAGCCATTTTGGCTCAAGTGCGATTCCCGCGCGCGCAGCCCCGGGA